TCTTCATCAATCTACTCATTCTTCAGTATATTTAACTAACCCAAAGCATTCTTTCTCATCTTCTTCTTCCACTTCTTCATTGTTCAGAGCACTCACTTCCTCTGTTTCATAGATATTAATGATGAATTGACTGCTGAAACAAATATTATAAACACAATCACTGTCCTCATAATCTGCATTTTCACAGACTCAGCTGCTATTCAGCACTGAAATCACAAAGCATTCATCTCTACTCTGTTCTAAACAAACAATATCATTAAACAAGATGCATTCAATCATTTTATCAAATGATGAAGATGATTTTTATGATTGATCATATTCTCTCCAGCCATCACTTCTGCAAAAATAAACACACATTCATATATAATGTGTCTCAGAAGAGGCGTATCACACATCTAGCATTATTATCAATATATCACCATTGTTAATGACATACTTAATCTATTCAAACACAAATTTGCAAAAGAGGAAAGGGAAAAAGAAAATAGAAATTAAAAAAAAAAAAATCATAAAATTGCAAAATTTTTCTACAGAGACACAAACCTCACAATATTTTTAAATATTAAATCTCAATACACATCAAAAATCAACATTCTTCAGCTTGAGAGCACAATGTTCACACAGAATTCAATTGTTGTGCATTATATGATTAGAGTTAAAGCAATACAATAAATGAACAGCAAATGATGCTATACAGAAACAAGTTAATGATGTATATGATTATATTAATAACATCATTAACAAAGAATATCAATAATAATTGTGATAAACATCAGTTAGAAAGCAACTTACTTAAAATCAGAATATTTAAAAAAAAAACTCATTTTGATGAAAAAAAAAGAAAAAAAGAAAAAAAGAAAAGAAAAAGAATCAACAAAAAAATTTAAAAAAAAAAAAATTTTTCTAGAGATGAAAAAAATCATAGCAGAAGAGCAAGAAGCTTTGATAATGATTAAATTAAAAAAGAAAAAAATTTTTTAAAGAAAAAGACATTCTTTTTACTTTTCTACATGCAATTTCTAATAATTAAAGAATCCATCAATTCTGTTTCATTAAGAAATTGATAACAATATATATACAAGTTATTTAAGAGATGTGAAGCAATCTATACAAATCACTGAGAACAGCTCTTACAAAAAAGAGGGGCAATTGTAATGCACTCACTTATTATTTCCTTATTATATTATATTTGTTTATTCTTATCTCTTTCCATTATGTTCTCACTATCACTATTTTTATATGTATATATATATGAATGTATGTATTTTGCACATCTTCTTTTCTCTTTCTTTTCCTTCTTAGCAATTAGCTACAACTACTACTATTATTATTACTACAATTACTATTGTTATTATCATCCACTATGCTATCTACTATCTTCCACTATTCACTCTTCACACTGTCATCACCCCTCACATGTCTGAAGCTTCGGGGGAGATATACCAACGTGTCGCTCGAAATGCGGAATAGGGATATATATAAAATTTTAGAGAGACTTGGTTACGTTATTCTTTATGTGGCCTCAAATTAACCATCACCGAAATTTTCAATCTCGGTTTTGTTTTCACTGCCTTATCCATCCAGGTTGGTTAAAGAAGGCGGGAAAATGGGACGCCCTTCCAAAGCCGGAGTCAAGGTGCAAGCCAAGTAGGTAGAACTTGAATAAAATTTAAAGAATAGAAAGACAGAAATGATGAATAGATGCGAGGCACAAGACCGCCTGAGATCACATGCCAGCTTTCATCTTTAGAAGAAAACCGGTATTATAAATCACCCGTTTAAACAACTGCCCCTCCTTCCCCCGCCGCAAGACTAAGGACAGGCACCACGTCCACCGGCTCCCTAACGTCCAAGCTCCCCCTCATTGCATCCGCCTTCTCTTTCTCGCCCAAGATCCTCATGAACCTCTCCCTATCTGCCTCTTTAGCCTTCACAGCATTATTCTCTCCATAACGCATTAGATACCAATCCTGATCAGCCTGCCTCATCTGTGCAACGGCCGCGATTACCGCGAGCTCACAAAGCATGTTTCCGTCTGTTTTTGCGAGAGTAGCGTTATTATCATTACTACATGCGTCGGTAGTAGTGATAGTGGTCATAGTCGTTTTCAGCCGCTTCATTGCCCTCTCTTTATCCATTTCTTCCCTCTCGATCCTCCTTTTCTCAATAATCTTTGCCCTCTCCTCCTTTGCTGCCAGATAGCGCAATGAATGTCCCAACCCCGTCTGTTCAGCTGGCTGTACGACATCTAGCGGCGGGCTCGTGAAGAATAGCACGTGCCCTTTCTCGTCACAGTGGAATTGTCGGCGGATTTCTTCTGGTATAGCCGCGTTTATATTATCGCTTAGAATGAACGTTTCCACTGGTCGAGGTGCGTTTGGGTTGTAAATGTTGGGTGGAAGGACTGGTTGTAGCTGTGATTGTGGCTGTGGTAGTAGCTGCGACTGTTGCTGGAGGTGGGCTTGAGGGATGTGAGGGGGATGGGGATGATAGCGACTGGCTTGGTAAGAAGGGAAATTGTGTGGGGCGGAGTAAGGTTGTGGCGGGGGCGGTTGTTGATAAATTGGGGTGGGTTGAGGCGTCTGAGATGCGAATGGGGGTCCTGGCCGGTGGTTTGGGTAGCCGGGGGGGTAGACTGGGGTGGCTGATGTTGGTGTGGCTGATAGAGGAGGGAAGGATTGCTGCATGCGTGTTAGTGGGGTGGGCGCCTGGGAAGCAACTGACGGCGGAGCATGTGGAGTTGGTTGGCCTGCTGAGCCTGCTGGTAGGGAATGTAAGGGACTAGCGCTCATGCGGTAGTCGCTTTGGCTGTCGATACTTTGGCGGGTCGGAGCGCGATTTATAGACATTTGACGTTGGGGTGCGAGGGGAACGACCGGGGGTGCGGGCAGTTGTGGAGGCGGCGATGGGGTAGGTTCCGGGGGTGGAGATTCCTGAATGATGGGAATAGATTAGTTATTGTTGCAGTGTATTGGTTTACATACAATTGATATGAGAGATAGAAGTAGAAGATGATTACGTTTTCCTCCCTTGGTCGGCGGTGTACTGCACCCACAATTGGTGGCGCATTCTCTGCACCCCACGTCGGTTTAGGTACATCATCTGTTTCCTTCGCATCCTCCTTAAGCAAATGTTTGATTGGGCTCGGTATCTTTTTGATTTTCCTAGGCGCATCAAAAAGATCCATCTCGTAATCCTTCTCTCTGACTTCGTCAGGCAGACAACTAGCCCAGGTTTTGATCTTGTTGAGCTTGTGTTTCTCCTCATTGTATCGTGCTTCGCACACATAAACCTGTTTGTCTGGCGCCAGCCCTCGTGGCCTCCCACGATTGTAGCGGGTGAAAAACATGACAAAGCATCGGTCAACGACTTCCCCAATCCGATGATCTCGGTATTGGCCGGTTTTCACGACTTCGTTGGGATAAAAGTGTTTCTCGTATTGGTGAATGGTCTGTTCTGGCCGGTAGTACCAGCAGGCATTAACCCATTTCTGTCCTTCCACATCTTGCCAGGTCCGGTAGATCTGCGCAACTATCGGCTTTGTTACATCGTTCGGATTTTGAATATGTACCCAGTCTCCAACCTTCCAAAGTTCACCTTTATGTAAGATGCCATTTGGTAACGGGAGTCGTCCATCCTCCATCAGATACTCGCTGTCTGGTTTCTTCTTCTCTTGATCAGCTAATTTCCGTGCTTCCGTCTGCAAAGCGGCAGCGTCCTTGTATATTTGGCTATCAACTTGGTTATATGCCTTTGCATTGTTGAACATAAGGTCCATATCTTTCATAAAATGGTCAACCGAGTTGTACTTCTTCCTCTTAGATTTCCTTTTTATGAGGTCAATGGCCATAGGATCCTTAATCTCCGAGAAATAATCGGGATAGGCAGCCTTGTCGGGTAGCCGCTCAAAATGGCGGACTTTTAGCTGGCCCGTGGAATCCTTGAACTTGCGTATTCCCTTCAAGACAGCCTTGATCCGCGCTTCCATCGGGGTATCAACGCGGGGAGGACGACCGCGTTTTTTTCGGAACTCAGGGTCGTTGATTTTATTCTGGTCGTCTTTAGCGCCTTCTCTTTTGGAAGACCCACGGTTCGGTCGTTTTTGTCTGCGGCGACCGGCTTCATCATCTGAGTCCTCAGCTTCATCGTCTTCCTCATCGTCTTCCTCTTCTTCCTCCTCGTCTTCCTCGACTGGAAGAGGGTCTGCGTCGGGAATTTCCCCTAGGTCCGGAAGTTCGGCTGTTTCCGAGGAAATTATCCCTTGTTCGACAAGTTTTCGAAATTCAGAAACAAAGACGTCCTACATTTTGTGAAGACAAAAAATTAAAATTCTATAACCTCAATTTTATTACGGACAGTAGGGTAAATGAAAGACAAACCTTGATAACTAGCGCATCTTCGTAGGCTTGGGATTTAGGGCGATTATATGTTTGCGCGTTGTGGGGAATCTAGATACAACGGGCATCGAAAGGTTATGGCGCAGGTCCGTCCCTGAAACTTTGGTGGCAAGCGGGTAACCAACACGAAAATACTTACCAATGCGCAATCTCTTATAAACTCTGCAAAATTGCAGTATGATTTATTCTTAATCTTTTGCTTCAGCACACTGAGGGCCATGGGCTCTTTGATGACATCGTAGTAGTCCGGCACATTGCGTTTGTTGACGCTGCGATGGAAAAGACGTGAGGGGTCATAGCCGCTATTTAATTTCTAAGTTAGTTTTCATAGTAGACCAGGAATGGGCGCATATCATACTCCGGCTCGCGATAATCGTATATCGCCAGGACAACATCGAACATAGCTCTCCATTGCTCATCCGTTACCTGGTGTTCAGGGTTATTGTCTTCATTTTCTTTAGAATCTGCTATTACTGTCATTTGGGGTTGTGGTGTCTCAAATGGGTGGGAAGTTCGCGAATGTTGTGATAGTCGGTCTGACTGCTCAGCGAGTTGACCGGCTTGCTCTGAGAGCTGCTGGATGAGATCAGTACTCTCTTGGATTTCAGTCTCAGTCTCAGGCGCAGGAGCATCAGCGGAACCAGAGGTGGAGGCGCGCTGGAATTCCGACTGGGCGCTTTCCGCTGCCATGGTGAGAGGGCTGATCGATCAATCGATTATGTAGTGCCAGGGAAAGGAATGACTATTATCGGGTGGTATATATGTCGAGGAGTAAGAAATACCGTGGTCTGGAGGGGCAGCGAGCAGCGAGCACCGGGTGCGTGATAGGCTTCGTCCAGGCGAAGGTTATATTCGGATATATGTTCTTCCGATTGCACTTAAATTCCGACTAAGCAAGGACAAACCCCAGAACGCCAAAGCTACTTTTTGTCCGAAGTTTACTATTCAGAGGGAATTTATTGCCATATATCAGCCGTTGTCCGCAAATATCTCATAAGAGACTTTATCCCCTGATTCAGTCTGATTCAAACAATGAGAATTCGCATACGTGGCCCAAGAGGCCAGTCCACAATTTCCCTCCAAGAGAGCGCCTCAATCCACGACCTCCAAGCCCAGATCAGCGACAAAACAGCATTGACATCGTACGACATCAAGTACGGTTACCCCCCTAAACCACTCGATCTCGACCAGCTGGACCCTGCCCTGTTGATCGCAGAAATTGGGACGAATCTTGATGGAGAGCAACTCATTATTAGCAAGAAGGATGGGCTCTCCGCGATGGACTCCTCCGCCAGCTATCGCCAGCAACAGCAGCAGCAGCCGGCGATAACGGATACTTCCAGCCCTAAAATCTCGAATAGAGTTGCGCAGACAACTCAACAAACAAGAGATATCTTAAAACCGCTATCATTGAGCCGTAAGGCCAACATTGCTGTTGAAAATGACCCTCCCGAGATCTCCTCCCCCGAACACGGCTGCACAGTCGTTCTCCGCATAATGCCCGATGACAATTCTTGTCTATTCCGAGCGGTCAGTAGCGCAGTGATGGGCGCGATGGATGCAATGACGGAGCTACGCTCAATAGTTGCGCAAACAATACAAGAGCAACCAGATGTTTATTCAGCTGCGGTGCTGGAAAAATCTCCAGACGACTACTGCCGATGGATCCAGACGGAGGATTCTTGGGGCGGCGGGATCGAGTTAAGCATCCTAAGCAAACACTTCGACGTCGAGATCTGCTCGATAGATGTACAGTCGCTACGCGTTGATCGTTTTAACGAGGACAAGCCGACAAGGTGTATCGTGGTGTACTCGGGCATCCACTATGACGTTATCGCGCTCTCCCCCTCCGACGAGCCGTATACCCATTCGTATGCGCCGCCAGAATTTGACACGAAGATATTCGATGCTGCCGACCCTATTATCCTGGAGCGGGCAGTGGCGTTATGCAAGATCCTGCGTGGTAAGCACTATTATACGGACACCGCATCGTTTACGATCCAATGCCATACCTGCGGACGCCAGTTTGTGGGTGAGAGGGGGGCGACGAAACACGCTACGGAAACAGGCCATTATAACTTTGGTGAAGCACCTTAACGGGATGAGTGATGGCGATCTACCTATCCACGTATTTTACTTATGACGCAATAGCGGCCGTACGCTCTAACGTTCAGCGCTGACTTTCATGTGATGAAGTGAACAACACTTGTCTAAATTGAACACATACAACTACAAAATCTTCTACCTCCATAATGTGACCTGGCAGAGGAGGTTACGGGGATTATTATAGACGAGTATTTTGTTCACTTTCATAGTTGAATAATTCACATGATGTTCGGATCGACAATCGACCGCCTGTCTCAACCGCGATTATGTGTTGTTAATAGTGTTTTCAGGCCCATGTTAATTCAGCCCCTATGTAGTAGATCCGCTCGCCTTCTGCGGCATTTTTGTTTCTGACATAGCGGCTCGTAATAACAGGGTAAAAAGAAAGTTCTACAATGAGAGACTCGAAGAACACTTTTCAATAAATACCAAAAATAGATCCAGATATGACAGGAGGTTTCTAATCCATTACCTGCTCCAATGTTCAGAGAAATGATCCAGGAAGTTATAGTCACCCAGAGAGGCTAGTGCCGATCAATGAATACCTCCACTGTGCCATTGGTACACGAAGTATTCTTGTGTCGGAGCTGATATCTCGTATATCAAGGATCAGAGATGACATCATGCTATAATCTGCCTTGTTGCCTTATTTTGCTTCGCCTTCTTCGAAATTGCCTTGCTGCGCATTAGAGCACTGCCCCGCTTGTATAATCAAGCATATCCTTCCTTATAAATACTGCCTACTTATCATGTAATTATCGGAGTAATAATAATCAATTCAATATTCCATTTTCTATTTTGATATTCAGTATTTGGGTCAATATTCGGACATTATCCAGTTCCGACATCTTGTCATTATTATTATTATTCTTCCATTATAGATATATGCAGTCAGTGACTAAGACATCTACCTGAAATACTCCAGGATTTTTCAACTTAAGAATAAGCCAATATACAAAGTCAATTTAATACATGCAATAGCAGAATTCCAGCCCAGAATCAAACAATTATTCAAACTATTCAATTTAAAATTTAAGAAAGAATGTCAAAAGAATGACAAATCAATACATTCAATTTAAAACAAATGAAATAAAAAGTATAAAAAACAGCAACTATTCACAAATCAAACTTTTCAAAACAAAAAATAAAAATAAAAATAAAAATAAAAAATAAAAATAAAAATTGAATTCATTATCAGATCAAGTTATTCAATTGAAATCTTGTAACAATATTTGATTCTTTCAAATATTCAATCAAGAATTTATTTCCAGTTTTTATATTGAATAAAAGTTTTAAATTTAACTGTCTCAATTCAAACTTCTCCCTCAATCTCAATCTTAACTTTGTATGCTTTGTACAAAGTAAAAGAAGATGCTCTGGATTTTTATATAACTGACAATTTGAACATAAATCACTTAAATCATTTCTAATCTTTGTTAAATATGATTTAAAATAACCATGTCCAAGCTTTAGCTGCATTATTGTAGCAACAAGTTCTTTTTACATTTTATTGAGCAAGCTTTCCATTTGGGCTTAATTTCAAACCTGGAATAATGTACACTCTTTTTTTGTAAAAACCAGATATCTTACCATTTTTGCAAACATGATTCTCTTATTTTTCTCTTAATAAAAGCTCATGTTACAATTTTTTAAAAACAGACTTCCAATTCAGTTGCTTTTTTTGCAGCTTCATCAGCCATTTCATTGCCATATATACCCATGTGAGCAGGCACCCAGTGAAGATGAATAGAACAATTGAGTGAGATTTTTCTTTGAATATTTTGAAGACTTTTCAAAATCAGCTCTAGCATTGACTGTCCACTGCTGATTTTATTACTTTGAAGCCTTTTAAGCCCAGCTTGACTATCAGAGAATATCTAAATATGCTCAAATCTTTTCCATTGTTCAATCTTCATCTCAACCAATTTGAAAGCTCTTGAAATTGCAAATAATTCAGCATTAAAAACTTCTGACTCTTTCCCACTTTGCCAAGAATCAAGAATATAGTTTTTATCATTTTCAGAATATGCTATTCCAGCTCCAAGATTGCCTGTTTTCTCACATTTTGAGCCATCAGTGTATATAAGAATTGCTTTATTTCTCATTTATTTTAGAAGATTTAAATGTTGTTCAGTCTGAACTTCTTTTGAAAGTTGACTAATATTTAAATCAATAAGACTGACAAGATCTTTCTTCCAAGGAGAGAGATTTTCAAAGACCACTTTCTCCACATTTAAACTAGAGAAACTGTTTTTAATCATGGAGCAAATTCTAAATAACTGAGATGGTATCTTCTTTCTTTGCACAGATATTGCACTTCTTATCGGTATGAATTTATTTCATTCCAATCAAAATATGACTCCCAATTCAGATCTACTCCAGTTGATTCACTTGGAAAAGAAGTTGAGACTCTTTTTCTAATTGAATGATTGGGATATAACTTCATAATTTTGAGAGCATAATTCATACAGATTTTATCAAATCTCACTTATGGTGGTGGTAGAGAGGCTTCAATCTCCATGGCTTTAATTGAAGAGGTTTTAAATACCCCCAATATTTTCTTTAAAGTTGAATTTTGAAGCTTTTGAAACCTCTCTACAAAACTCTTTTGATTTTTCCACCATATTTGAACTGCAAAGTCTGAAACAGAGGTTATACAAGCAATATATAATTGTCTCATTGCTTGAAAAGACAAACCTCTCTCAGTATTTGAAAGTCTTAAAATACTGTTTAAGATTCTTTCAGCACTTGCAACTTTGATCTGAACATGAGATTTAAAATTTAACTGAGAATCTAACCAGACACCAAGCCATCTAACTAAATTTTTTGGATTAACTGAATGATTTAAAAGCTTAACTTCAGTATCTCTTTCTTTGAAATTTGGATAAAAGTGAATTAATTCAGTTTTATCCATATCAAAAACGATGGTTTTTAATTTTGCTTTTTCAATCATTTCAGTTGCTGCTTGCTCAATCAAATTGCAATTATTTACAATTGATTCTGAGTTTACAACTAGATCCAAATCATCCACATAGCTTGGAGTTCTCACTATAATTGCCATTTGTCTATCAATAAACAGAAACTTGATAAATATAGCAAATAAAATGGGTGAGACTGGGGAACCCTGAGGAACTCCTATCTCAATATCTGTTATATCTTGTCTCATTCCATCAAAAAGCAACTGAATAGTTCTTTTTGACATGAAACAGACAACCCACTTAATGAGAGACTTTGGCATTTTCAGTTCCATCAAAGTTTTGATCATTTGAGAAAGTGAAACACAATCAAATGCACCTTTTATATCAATAAACATTGCAGTTGTAACCATTTTTTCATTCTTTCCAAGTTGAATATCATGAACTACAGAGAGAACTGCATCAATTGCTGAGGTTTGCTTTCTACTTCATCTGATCATCATATAATAAATCAGTAGTAGTAGACAGAAAAGACAACCTAGTTGCAATTATCTTTTCCAAAATTTTTCCCAGACAATTCAGCAGAGATATCACTTTATAAGATTTAGAAATAGTTAGTTTTCTATTGGGTTTTGACAGAATAACTCCAACAGCATGCCTTCAGCACTTAGAATGATACTCATATTTCAAAAGATTTGAGAACAATTCAACGAGCTCATCTTTTAGTACTGAATAAAACTCTTGAATTATTAAATGATTTATAGTATCAGCTTCTGCTGCTGTGACCTTTGAAAATGAAAAAATAGCTGTCTTTAATTCATCTTCAGTTAAGTCAGGCCATTCCCATTTCTTATCATGTTCATATTCATTATCTTCTTGCAAAGAACAAACCTCTCAGTTGTTGATGATGGCTTGTAAACAGTGATTTTTGATCAGATATATGGTTTTTAGATACTCTGTAAATTGTATAAAACTTGATATAAATGGTTTCCGCTAGTTCATCGACTGTAATGTTTTTGATGCAAGGAATATAGATTGTGAACTTTGTATATATATTTACAATCATTAAAATCACATCATACATTTGATGAAGGAATGTAGGGAGGCTGGCAAATTTGTAATAAAATTTATAATAACAGATTCAAAACAATTTGATGATAAGAAAAATTTTATTCAACTCTTCATATTATTTGTGATGTTTTGATTTTACTTTTTGACAAGTATCATAAATGAATATATAGTTTTTAATATTTCTGATTAGCTCATGTCAATAGTATTTGTTCTGAATGCTGTTTATGAACTTTTTTATATCAAAGTGACCCCTCTGCAGATCATCATAAATTGCATTGATAATTTCATCAATGAGTGCTTTTTATTGAGAAACATACACATGATCATCAGCATGTAATATATCATTCTCAGAAATTATTCATAATATATTTTCAGTGACAATTATGTTTTTTTTTTTTATTTTCTTTCTTTGCTCAGCAGTAAAAGAATCAATTTTCTATACTTTATTTAAAAATGAAATAAAGAATTCAGATATTTCTGTATATACTAAGTTCTCAAAAATAATCTTATTAACTGCAATTCAGAGCATATATTGCTCAACACATGACAAAGAACAAGAGTTTATATGAGAGGTATAAAACATTGATGTATGAAGTGCTTTTCATTTATTAAAAAAAAGCATTTTGCTCATTAGAGATCTGTGCATAAATTACATCAGAAGAAATATCATTTTGAAAAAAAAAAAAATATCAACTTTTTAATCTATTTTAACTCCATGTTACAACAGCTATTACAAAGTAAATAACATAATTTGATCATTATAGATCTCATTGTGATCTGTATAATAATTAAACTCATCAGCTGAATTCTTTGATTCAGAGTAGTATAGTAATATAAAATCATAAACAAATAGAGCTTTCATTTATTTAATCTGATGTTTGTTCAATTTCTTAATTGTTATAAAGTACTGCAGATTGGCATGATCAGATCAATTTTGAATTGAATACTGATTTTTCTTCAGATAATATCTTCAATTCTTAAATACTGTTATAATAGTTAAGAGTT